TACTTTGGGTCCCACAACACCCAGCGGTGATGAGTCCCAGAATTCCATTATAAGCTCATTAAAACCAGTACATTTTTACTTGTTTAAAGTCATAGAATGATTTGGGTTGGAAGTGACCTTAAATATGTATTTATAAATATCCTTAAATATGTCTTTAATCTGCCTGATGTTTTCAGGGCGTGTTCTCCCCTTCCTGGTTCTGATAGTGTGAGTGCAGAGAAATAATGATTCCATATGGATCACCTCCTCCCTGTCCATTATGTTACAGACCATTCCTGTATTGCTTCATTGCCACTGCTCTGGGCTGAAAAGTCTTTTTGTGATAATCTCCAATTTTACAGGAGTGGTCAAGCTGTTGGACTGGTTTGTTGTAGGTTCCTTCCAACCAAATCTTTCCCCCTTTCCCTTTCCCTCTCCATGGGCCGGGAGGGCTTTTCCAACCCCAGTGGCTCTGAGCTGATGTGAATTTACAGGTGAGCATGGAGAGCAGTGCCCCAGCACAGACGGCTTTACAGCAGCAGGAGCTGCATTTTCTCCAGCCACTTCCCAAACCCGTTCGCTCTCCCGTGTCCCGGCTCAGGCACAGAAATGGGGGTTAAAGGCAATTTCCCCCCAGGAGCTGAGGTGGCACGGATAAACACTGCCAGATAAACACTGCCAGGAAACATCCCCACAGCCAGCTCCGGGGCTGGGGAAGGGACACCCGGGGCTGGGTGAGGGACACCCGGGGCTGAGTGAGGGACACCCGGGGCTGGGGAAGGGACACCCGGGGCTGGGTGAGGGACACCCGCTGCCCGAGCTGTCTTTGCTTTTGTACCATCCACTTTGGGCTTACTGTGCAACACCTGATGATTTTAATTAAACGTTCATGTCTCACCGGTCAGAGGGGGATAGCCAGAGCTTCCCCTCTGTCATTCCCTCGGAGCGAAGCTGCAAACACTCCTCTTACAAAATTTATGATTGTTTCCTCCGGAGATTTATTCCCCCAATAAAACCCCTGGGCATTGCCAGCGCGGTGGCCGCGGCCGTGCCAGCCATAAATCACAGGGGCCGTAAACATGCCGCCCAATAACCTCCCGGGAGCAAACCCTGCCTGCCGGGAGAGCATCCCAGACGGGAGGGATGATCTCCTTCCCTCGCCGTCGCCTCACGCCGTGCTCGCGTGGGGAGCTCGGCCCGGCCGATTGGCCGCGCTCGGGGCCCGGGGGGTGTTATAAGCGCTGCCCTCCCGGCTCGGGGACGGTGGATCCGGGTCCTCGCTCCGCATCGTGCCGGCCGAGAGCCCCCGGCCCCCCGCGCCGCGCTGGGTGAGTGCCCCGTCCCGGCCGGGCAGCGCTGCCCGTGCCCTCCGCTCCCGCTCCCTGCCTGGGACACCGGCCCTGGGGGAGGGTTTGTCCCCGAGGTGCCGCTCGGCAGGTCCGAGGGACCCGTCGGGAGGGATGTGCTGGGTGGAGGGATGTGCTGGGGGAAGCGGGTGGATGGGATTTCCCCGGGGAAGGTGGCGGTGCCGCGCGTTGCGCTGAGAGCTTTGCGCAGGAGCCCCCCTGCTCTCCCAGCCTCGGATGGTGGGAACGGCACGTCCCTGCCCTCGCCTCTGGAGCCAGCAGAAATTGGGCTCCGTGGGTGCCGCGTCCCCAGGGTCCCTTTGCCGAGCTCTCACTTGTTGCTTGGGTTGGCAGCGGTGCCATTGTGAAAATAGCAACGGCTCCTCTTGGGAAAGGAGCAGATCTCTGAGTCTCATCAGCCCCAGCCCCAGCTCCCAAGGCCCTGCTCCTGCTTACACTGACAAGAACCCTTAAAGCACCGGTACTTTGAGTTCTTGGGGAAAATCAGGGACAGGGGCAGGGACAGGGAGGAAATCAGGACGTGGCTTTGGAGGGCTGGGGATGCAGGGACAGCTCTGTGTCCTTCATGAGGCTTCTGCCCTGGTGCCTGACCCCTTCCCCTGGGCGGGCTGGGGTGGTCCTGGGGAGCAGAAACACCCCAGGCACTGAGCAGGGGCACAGTCCCCTCTCTGTGGCAGGATGCCACCTCCCAGGGTCTGCCAGGAATGCTTAACTCGATATCCTCCAGGAACTGGAGCTTTGCTTCCTCCTCAGGGCTTGGCTGCAGTGAGGAAGGTGCAATTGCCATCCCATGATAGTCTGCTGGGAGATCTTCTCTGATCTAACTGATTGTCATTGTGTGATTCTGTAAGAGATATGTTGTCCTATAAGTTGTGCTGTGTTATCTATACACATATAAATGTACACACACATGGACAGGCATGTGTGATTGTTTATCTTTTTTATACATTATATGTGTATATATTTATCTATAGCATTTATAGACACAGAAAACATGGAGGGGTAGAATGATGTTGGAGTGGAATCCGTGTTGGAGCACATAACAAACCAGAGCAGCTCAGAGAGGAGCAGAGTGAATAAATCCTGTTTTAGTATAACTTCTGTAGTGTGGTGGAGTTGCTGGTGTCTGACAAAGTCAGGTTTAAATGGATGTTTTCTTGTAGGAGGAGCCTTCCCTATAGACCCAGGGAGTTCTCATCAGTCCTTCCTTTCTCACTGTCCTCCAACAGTGTCTCCCCTTTATCCACCCCCATATTCCTGGAAAACTGGTGCATCTCAGTGTCTCTGAGAGCTCTGGACACCTGCCAGAAGCTGCTCTTGGGGACAGTCAGGCAGACACACAGCCCTGGAGTTTTTTGGAATTGTTTAGGTTTATAACTCAGCCCCCAGATGGGACTGAACTGCAGGAGCTGGCAGGTTGATTTCACTGCTCAGATCATGGAATTATGGAATGGTTTGGGTTGAAGGGACCTCAAAGCTCATCCAGTGCCACCCCCTGCCATGGGCAGGGACACCTTCCACCAGCCCAGGCTGCTCCAAGCCCCGTCCAACCTGGCCTGGGACACTTCCAGGGATCCAGGGGCAGCCACAGCTTCTCTGCCCAACCTGTGCCAGGGCCTGCCCACCCTCCAGGTGGTGTTGGGTTGGCAGGAAGGGGCAGCTCTGACCTTTGGGGAGCTCTGAGCCACCAGTGAGCACCTGAGGGACCTCTGGACAGTCTCCCTTGGTGACACTGAGCACTGTGGATGGGTGAGGGAGAGCCCTGGCTGCCCTCCCACGTCTGAGCCGCCCCCAAGGCTCTCCTGAAGAAGGGCTGGGATTG